TCTCTATAAATATTTTCACCAAATCGAATCAGTAAATGGAACTATATCCAATAACAATTATTTCATCTCCCATTTTTCATCAATAAAGTGGCAGGTCAACCCTAAAAATGGTAGATTAGTAGGGCTTGACCATATATCAGTTGTAAAGTTAATTTAGCATATTAAATTATTTATAATTATTTTAACTTTATTGAATTCTTTATTAAAAATTTCATTCAATTGACGGTATTGAGCATATTTTTATTTCAGGATTTAAAGCTCTAACGAAGGACTTAAATTCCTGAGTGGCGAGAATTTTAAAAGTTATATTTGACTTTAGCAAAAATTTTAATAAATAATGCTTAAAATCATCAGCATTTGTTTTGGGTATATCATTTAAATAGTTTCTAATAGTATTATTTTGTTTTTGATGAAATCTTTTGTTATGATTAATTAGTGCTGACGTAGTTTTTTTCTTGCACATTATCTCCACATTGCATATTTTACATTTAGCTGTTTCTTTTTTAGCATGAAAGAATTTTTCCACCTACCATTAAAAGGTTCAGTTTGATCAGAGATTGATGTAGATCTTAAACTATTTGAGGATTGACTATCCTTCACCACATCTTCTTCCATCAAGATTTTATAATTGATCTTTGAATATATTTTAACATTATATCATATAAAATCCAAGTTTACAATCCTTCCTGAAATTCCAGATTAATGACACATTAGAAGCTGAAAGAAAAAAACAGTAAATTAATTAAACAGTGGCATAGGCATGGGGGGGGGGGGGGGTTTAAAAAATAAAATTATTTTAATTTAATATTTTTATTCCTATTATGAATTAGCAAAACCTTAGAGAAAATTAGACCTTTCTTTATAAATTCAAATCAAAAATAGCAATATGATATAACTCAAGTTTTGTACGATGACCAAAATGCCCTCAAAATCGGGATCCCCAGTTCCGCTCCCCGATAATCCTAGGCCATCCAACCCAGTCGACCCCCCCCCACTCCCCCCGAATAGTTGAACAGCCTACGATCGTGGTCCCACCCATTTCAAACATCATTAGTAATATCGTAATAATTCTTCTAATTATATCCTGTATCCATATTGCACAAGAAATATCTATATATAAATATTAATTTGAATATCATAACTACTACTTAAATTAGTCCAACTATTCAGCAAATGACAAACTTTCCTATCGATTTATGCCTTACTTATCTAGTATCTCCACCAAAGCTAGTCTTTTTGTATTCTTTATCCGAAGACTTGCTTTAATCATATCTTAAGCTAATCTTTTATGTCTTCCAAGTTCTAATTACGATTGTCCCTTGTCTAGTATTCTTAGCTTCTAACGACTGCTTGTATCAGATTAACACTTTATTGCCATTACAAATTTTGTTTCTTCTAATAACAGATATAAATTCTTGACATTTATCATCTATTTGACGATAACTTGTACCCTATTAACACCTACTCCTCATTCACTATGTTGGTCAACAATTATCGATTGATTTTATCTTTCTTTTAAACTTTTATTTCTTCCAAAGTCATTCTGAAATAATCCTGATAAATTATTCTAGTTTGTTGCTTGTTTCTAACAATCTCTAGATTGATTAGCGTTTAAACTCTTTAACATCTTGATTATAACTTGTAATTGATTAACAATTATCGATTAATTCTAATCTCTTTTTCAACTTTGTTTCTTCTATTAACATCATGAAATTCTCTTGATAAATTATCCTCGTTTCAGTTTTTTGTTTATAATGATCTCTTATAATTGATTAACGCTTTATTGTCGATTAATTCTAGCCTTCTTTATTTTTTGTTTTACCAGCGTGGAATTTTTGAAAAGTTATCCTAACTTGTCACTTGTTTTAAGTTTTCTCTTGTAAATTTTTGATGCATTATCTCGGTAAACGATTGCCGATTGTTTAATCATTATAATTTTTAGCACTTGTTTAAAAACAACTTTTTATAATCATTATAGTTTTCATACACACGTTGTTGAAAAACCAATGAAATCTAATCATTATAGTTTTCGCACACACTTTTTTGAACAACCATTGAAATCAAATCATTATGATTTTACACACACGTTGTTGACACACCAATGAAATCTAATCAATATAGTTTACGCACACAGGTTGTTGAAAAGAAACTAACATCGATATATATCTAACGCATGTTATTTCTCCTATTATTAGAATAATGTTGCATAATTGATTTAAATCTTACTAATGATCCAAAATAAAAATCCGATCTCTAATTGATGCGGCATGAATTTTCTAATAATGAAAGCCGTTTCTCTTCCTAAAGTTTTGGTTAATCAACAACCTGATATTTTAATATTATTAACTTAAACAAATTTTATTGACATGTGAAATCCTTGAGACTGTTTTATCTCGCACAGCCCTTAGTATAAAAGCTAAACGTAAATTTTTAATAGGAATTTAATTACAACATCAACATATTTATATTTTTTTTCATAATTAATTTAAAAAACGAAGCGTTTTTTCTTTTTCAAAATTTCACAAATGGTATTTAATCAAGATTCACTTTATCAGAATTGTAATTTTCTTCTAATTATATTTTATGACATCTGATAAGCTTAATAGAAATTATTGGTCTCATGGTGAGATGAAAGATTATTATTTTTAAAAATAATATTATTTTAATGGCAGCATACCTGAACTGCTGAGCAACAAATTATCTTAATCCTCCAATTCATAGATTAAAATATAAAAAAAATTATAAAGCCAACTTCCTTTATCTTGGGTGAGAGAATAAGGGAAAAAATAATTAAATAAAATTTGGCCGCTGCTTAGTAAATTAATAAATGATCCTGGCATCCCTTGACTTATTTTCTTCAACTATTCGCTTTCCTAATAATTTTATGAATATTCTAAATAACACCAATTTTTTTTATTATTTTACTTCAGTTTAATTATTTTCGCTTTTCGCTATAATATTTAAAATCGGACTTGTATCTTCAAAAGAAATTATCGAATTAGAAAGGTTGGACAAATTTTTTTCAGATCGGTTTTGTTTTTTTAAATATTTTGGCTTTTATCACGAGTTTGAAAAAATCTTTAAAAAATTTTTGAACAAAATCTAATTTTTTTTTTTAATAACTAAGATTCTGATCACCTAAAAATGCCAAAATTATTATATGTAAGTCTTTTGTAATTTTCATACATAAAAAATATTTCAAGATAATATTAAAAATTTGATCTTGACAAATTTCGATATCTTACATCTTGCATAAAAAAAATTTTTTTAATAATTTTTTTTTTCAAACAAGAAAATTTACATACGTAAATTAAATTATGATGAATAAAATGAAAAATTATATATCTAGAAGAGGATATTAAATTATAATGAATGAAGGTACACATAATTAAAATTTAGATCTTTAAATCACTAGAGAATTATCAGAGACAGCTTTATTTAATATATTACATTAATAAAAATAATATTTAGCCAACATTTATAAAAATAAATTGAAGGAATTTCCATGAAAATAATCTAAATTTTTTGTAAGCATCATTTTTTTATAAGGTAAAATAAAGATATGGCCATAATATATATATCTAAAATTTTCAAAATTTATGAAGGCATTTAACCAAGGGAGTGGACTAAAGATTGTCAATAAAATTTATAGGGAAAAAATCCATCTAATAGCCCCCCCCCATCTTAGCAAAATCCTGGATACTTCTATGACTATCACTATGTTTCCTTAAAGTTTCAAAACATTTGAAATAAGTTTTAGACGCATTCTTTAAAATATATTTCATACAACTTTATATAACATTTATATTTTTCTACAAGTTTATTTTCGAAGTTTAGAAAGCGGAAAAACAAATGTTATATATATATCAGAATTGTAAATAATGGCAATGAGTTCTAATAGTAGAAGCTAATAATCGGAAAAAATTTGCCCTTTTTCAGCGGTACTAACTAACACTCTTTATAATATTATATAAAAAAAATTATATGAAGAAAATGCTTGAGAATTGAAATTTTTTTTCAAGATTAAAATTTTTTACTTATAAAAAATTTTTTACAAAAAAACGATTTGAAATTTTTGGTAAAATTTTGGTTTTTTTTATTTTGTTAATTAATATTTATAGGTTGTTTATATCTTTTTTTTGGTTATAAATTATAACACCTTTTAAAACGGAGAAATTATATAAGAAACTAATATTAGCTTAAAATCATACAAATAATAATTTTATTGCATTAGGAAAAATAATTTTAAAAATAAAATATAAATTTGGTTTTTTTTTATTGAAAATAATCACACTAATATAATTGGTAGAGATAATTTAAGAAATTATCCAAATTAGAACAATTAATCCATAATATAAATACTATTGATGAAATCAAAGTAAGATAAATTATAGAGAGAAATTCGCTCAATTATTTACCTCTAAACTAGGACCATTCTTTAACAAATTAGAATCCTCTTACCAGTTATTTTTCCATTAATCTACAAATATTGTTATTTCTCTTCAAAAAATCACTCCTACCACCCCTAATGTGGACACTGCCTGATGGGCTCCAACACCTATAGAGAAGCCATTTGTTATTCTACATCCCGGCTGCATATTCGTTGTAGGCCTTTCTTGCATATATATTATATTATATTTATAAAGGAACTCAAGGTTCTTTTCTGAATCAAAATCTCAATTATAAAATAAATTTAAAAAATGAAAAAAGAGTTTGGGCCATAAAATTCGATATTATAATTCTCTAATTGATTGTGTTTATTGATCAAATCCTATTAAAAATTGGAATTTCGATTCAAAATTATAGAAAAGAATACTTATTTTTGCGACTATAAATGAAAGGTTAAGGAAAAAATAGCAATGATACTATATATTTGTTTATTGTTAATAATATTAAAAATCCGAGGAAAAATCACGATAAGATAAAATGTAAAGAAAATAATACAAATTAATAGCTAGTAAATAATAGTAAATAAATCGTATTTCAATAAACAAAAAGAAGACTGTTACTTATTTTTTATTTTCAAAAAAAAATGTTCAAATATAACCAGGATATAAAATTTTTAGGAAAAATTTGTATTTCTTCGTAAAAACTAAAGTGTTTCGACGGGTATTGATTCTTCCGATTGTAAAATATCGTATGATTCTTCCACCAACATATCCGAATCTTTATAACGAAAATATATAATATTAAAAAGTGGTTTAAAATCTTGTTAAGTATTAGTTTTTTTTATATTAAAAAACATTGTTTTTTTGTAACTAGTGACTTTTTTACGTTATATAATTATATATTATTCATTATTTATCTATATATGATTTCCCAAAATTTAAAATGAATGTTTATTAAATAAAATGTCTCATTTATATCAAACCCTCCTGTAGAACGTTTTTTAGTTTAGGGTATAGCTAACGAATAATTTAATATCTAATATCTATTATTCATCTAAAATACTTTTGAGTATTCATAAATATTGTAAAATAATATATTAGTAGGAAATATTTGGTCGTATTAGACATCGTTCAATTTACAAATTTCCATTCTGCGGAAAATATATAAAACATTTTATAATATTATAAATATAACATTGATTTAGGATTAACAGCGATCACATGTAACAATGTCACATCAAACACCGCTTTCATAAATACTCTTAGAATTAAAAACCCTAAATCCAAAATTTTGCACATTCAATGTTTTGCATATATTTTATTTCTAGTTGTTCAAGAAATAATAAAGCAAATAGATGAGCAATTAGTACAATTAAGGTGCATTATAAGAAGCATTCATAATTCCTTTAAAAAAATTATCATGATGAAAAAGTTTTGTAATTCTCTAATTCCATTAAAATTAAAATTAGATACACCTATCAGGTGGAATAGCTCATATTTCATGATAGAGATAAATTGTTGTTGTCAGATGCGTCTACTACATGATATGTAATACGAATAGTACTATTATTCAATTTTTATTTTGTAAGCATAATCTAGGGAAGTTTATTTTTGGAGCAAAACTAGCAAGTGTAATCATGTGAATGCCGCAAGATCTATAAGACCATGGGCTGGCTTGAGTGACATCTAAAAGGCACCAGTAGAATCAAAGATGTCCATAGGTCATCAAAATAATTCTCTCAGAAAGTAGGGTGGAAGTCTCACTCCGAGAATGGGTCCAACAATGGATCATTCTCAGTTAATTGCAGCAGGACACTATATTGGGAAATAAGTATCTAAAATTAAAAATAATAAAATCACCATTATTTATAAAATTTTAAATTTGGTTTAACAATTTTATTTAAAGATATTCATATAGAATTAGTTTTAAAAATTGAATGATCTTTCAGACTCACTGATATCGGCATCTCATTTGACATAATATCAAATTAGCTTATGAATTATCAATATATATTTTTCCAATAATTTTCTGACAATTTCTCCGAAAGTATTAACTTTTTACTTATAAAGAAATATTAAGGTTAAAAAAAGTCTGACGTATGATATTTTTCAATCTTAATCTGTAACTTCTCTAATTGAAATATAAATTGAAATCCACAAATTTTGCTAACCCTAATAATTATTCATAATTCTATAAAATGTTTCATATATCTCTACCCCACCCCAGATTGGAAATTTGTAAATGGAACGATGTCTAATAATATTGATTTTAGTACCCATTCATCACCTATGTAATGGCAAGTTCATATAAAATAAAATATTGTTGGCCAGTTGACCCTCCAATATTCTATCGTTTATCAGAATGGGAACTTAAGGATACAACCAGTCGTTAATGGATACCAGATGTACTTTTACTATCTATTCATGAAAATTCCCGAATTTTACGTAAAACCGACATTATAAAATTATCACCATTTCCCATGAAATTTCTGGTCTCACCATCACCATATATTACTTTACATATCATAGTGTGAAAGTGATGAAAATAAAGAACAGTTATGTAGTGTTATGGCACCAAAATAGATCACGAGGTTCGCTGGCCTTCGCACCAGGGGACCCACATTCATTGATACTCTAGGCGAGATCAATCCAAGGTAACCGATATTGATATTCTAGGTGAAATCAATCATAAAAGGAAACTGATATTAATACTCTAAATGAGATCAATCATACAAAGGAATCGATAATGATACTCCAGGCAAGATCAATCTTAGAAAAAAATCGATAGATACTCCAGTGCCTGATCAATCGATATTGATACTCCGCTGAGAGATCAATCATACCAAGACAGCTTTTATTGATTCTATGTTGTATTGTTGTTAAAGGCTCAATTTGAGTCAATTTTTAAAAATGGCTAGCTCAATATTTTATCCAGAATAATATTGTGTTAGCCTCGAGATTTCGCTAATAGATGTCCAAACCTTTGTGTCATCTGTGGGAATAATCTTCAGACTTATGTAATATTTTTCTGGCTAAAATATTGAGTTAGCCATTTTTAAAAATCGGCTCAAAACGAGGTATTTAACAATATTACTATGTTGAGAGATCAAAATTTTGATTGGGGGCAAAGAGTAAATGTTAAAAGGTACCACACGGAAAAAGTAAATGAAGGCTACCGTCAAAATTTTTTAAGAGAAACAATAAGTCATGGAGACAGTGAAGAGATAAAGATTTTCCTCTAAATTGATGAAAGAGAAATGCACTAAATAAAAATATGTTATAATGTAATATATTATTTATATATCGTCGGTCTAGAATTGGAGTACTCCACTCGACATTTTCAAAATTTTGAGTTAGAAGTGGATAATAACTTATTTATTACCAATATATATAAAAATAAAAACTAGATTAAAAAATATTAATTTTTGCCAAAATTATAGCTGTCAATTTTGCGCTATTTGCAAATAACGATGTAATTTTTGCTTCATATGCATGGCCTATCCTATTATCTTATTTAATCACGTGTTGTCTTTCCCTCCTTTTTTAATTTGTTGCTTTTCATATTAAAATATTTTCATTCCATATCTATTCCAAATTATTTTAATGTTAAGGTAAAATTTTTTTCTTATTTTAAAATATTCTTAGTATAGTTTTCATGTGTAATCTTTATAAATAAATTTGTAATTAATCATAATGAAACTTATCATAATTTTTTAATAATTAACTTGCTCATAATATAAATAAAGATTATATTTGACCAAATAAGTTATTAAAATTTATCACAATTACTTGCTCATTAAATATAGAGATAAAAATTATTTTTACTTTACTTAGTCCTTCAACTTCTAGAAGCAAAGCAAATGAAAGAAAAAGAGTAAGGGATGTGGTGAGGCCTATATCAATATTAAAGGTGATTTGAAAAGAGCAAGGATGGTTCAAAATGATCATTCTAATAAATGTATATTTCAATGTCATAAAAAAGTTAATGCAGATCAGAGTAATGAAGCTAAAAGATCTTTCTATAGCAAATTTATTGATAGGACTCCATGTAAGAAAAGGGTAAAAGATTCTTTAAATTAAAAAAACTATTCATACTTATATTTTTTTGAAGTGAAGAATGTTAAAGTTAGAGTTTGCAGATAATTTCATAAGTAAATAAACATTATTTCTTTAAAAATTTATACCAAAATACTGGAAGTGATTTATCTCTCTAGAAAAGGTAAAAATACTAAAAATGTTATTTATGATGGAAAAGATTTCATCATTGATCTTATAAAACCATTCTAGGGTCATTCCATGTCAAATCAATCACTTTTCGGCCGACCACTTTCGATTTCGATAAAAAATCGTAGGCTGGTTATATATGTTACCATTAGATTATAAACAAAATTTTAGCTCATTAGCAATTATATTAGCGGAGATATTCGGGGTTAAAGGTCCAAAAAACGTCTTTTTTTTGCTTTTTACTGATGTTAAATAATTAGTTTTTAATTTAAAACTAAATATGATCAAATATTGAATCTAATATCGATAGCTAAGTTAATAATTGATGATTAAGGTGAAAACATCAAAATTAATATTTAGAAATGTATATGATCTCCGATTTTTAATTTTTTTAAGAAATATTATCCGTTTACTATTTTTTTAATAATTTCTTCAACAATTAGCAAGGCTGAATATTTATTTAAAAATATATTGCGATTTTTATACTTTAAAAAAATAGATGGCGCTATATATAATAGTTTTAATATGTTAAAATTCATTTTTTTTATTGATTAAAATATTTTAATGTATATATATCATACTAAATCGATTACAATGTGCATTATATATATTTATTTGTAATTCAGATCATAAATTTTTAAAATTTTCACAAATTTTGCCTAATTAAGATAGTTTATAAATTAATTAAATCCTACTTCATCTAAAGGAATACAAAGCCTGGCTAGCTTATGAGATTTCTTTATGAGATTTAGGCAATACTAAAATATCATCTTTCAGATGAAATTTGAGGCTGAAGGTCCACAAAGGTGTAAAAATCGGATTTTTACTTCTTCATTTGTATCATTTTTATCGATTATATATCCTATCCACCATTTATCTTCATATACACATGTTATATATCCATTAATATTTTAAAATATAATTTTCTCATTTAAAAACGAAACTTGTTTTATATTATATTTTTTGGAATTAGAATATATTTTGGTTTTTAGTCTATTTTGATCAATGGGAATAACTCCGTGAATTTTTTGGGTACCATGTATGGGCAGTGCAGAATCAAATCTTTTACGAAGGGCTAATTCCTCTTCGATATATTCTTGATTGGATACATATTCAAATTAATTCCATTAATATTTTCTTTAGCATAATTATATAATTCTAATGGGGTTAGGATTTGATTTTTATTTGGCCTTTGAAGACTAGCTCTGGCAACTAATCTTTTGACAGTTCCGCCGATACCGTCACATGCATTTTTGCCGTGAGCAGTGGCAAAGAAATGCCATTCGGCTGGAATATTAAAATCGTATTTATGAAGGCATATGTTCAGAAAATTTTTGCTATTCTTGTATTGAGACGCGGCTCCATCTGAAAAATATATTATTTTTTCTGGTTTAGAATTAAATTTGGCTGTTAGGAAATTAATAAGTTTTTTTTGGTAAAGGTGGACTGCACTAGTATTATGGTTTCATGATTCGGATATAATAACAAAATTTATATTTTTTAAATCTTCTCCAGTTTTATAATATGCTACAAATAGATGTATAGTGGCCTGCACGTTGTTCCAATGAAATCCCTGAATTTCATCTTGTAAAATGAGGAATAATTCTCAGAATAATCTAGAATTGTTAAAAATTCCCCATCTTTTAAATTTTCTTTGGAATTCTTCAAAAATAAACTTTGTGTTTAGCTATAAACGAGTGACGCAGTAAAATTTGAACTTTTTCTAATAGATATTCGATGAAATCATCAATGGACTTTATAATAGTTTCAAGATTTGCTCTATCCACCGTGATCCATTGTTTAAACGTGACATATTCTATACGATTTCTCTGAAACAACTGGTATAATTGGCCCTTAAGAGATTTTATACCAGGGCATTGATCACAATTTGTTAAATAACATTTTGGCTGAGATGGATTACAAATAATTTGAGCCAGATAGTTATAAGAATTTATAGTAATCTTCTCCTGCTGTAATTTCAGCTATTACATTTGTCATTAATTTCATATTCTGATGAATGGCGCACACAAACAGTGTGTGTGCCACTAGCTCCAACTAAAATACAGTTTTTTGGTCTAAGTTCGGCAAATTTAGAGAATCCAATTAATATATTTGGGTATTCTTCTTTAAACATCTTGAATATTTGTTTAAGATTATTTAATATAAGTCTTTGGACTGATTCTTTCTCGCCTTTAACAGATACACAATCTTTTATTTCAGTCATGAGTCGGCTTATTTCATCAGAACTATAATTTTGTTATTTTTATAGCTTAAAAAATTTTTCAAAATCTTTGAAATTTTCTTTATCTCTGGTTATTTTAATAATGTAAGATAATGAGAATTTCATAACATTCTTGGTCTTGATGGGTATGACTTTGTCTGGGAGGAGGGGGGTGGAGGATTGGGGGTAGGCCTGGTAATTAATGTGATTTTCGATTTTTCCCTTAATAATTTTCCTGCAATCCTTTAATCCTGCTTTTTTGTTCGTGTGCTAGTCCGATTCTGCGAATATCTCAGGGGAATAAGGTTTACAAAGTTATATAATCAAATTTTATGATATATTATACATTAAAATATTTTTAATCAATAAAAAAAAATGAATTTTAACATATTAAAACTATTATATATAGTGACATCTATTTTTTTTAAAGTATAAAAATCGCAATATTTTTTTAAATAAATATCCAGCCATACTAATTGTTATAGAGATTATTAAAAAAATAGTAAACGGATAATATTTCTTAAAAAAATTAAAAATCGGACATATACATTTCGAAATATTAATTTCAAATTTTGAACTGACCATAAGATGACCCATATTTTTAAAAAATTAATTTTGATATTTTCGCCATAATTATCAATTATTAACTTAGCTATTAATATTAGATTCAATATTTGATGATATTTAGTTTTAAATTAAAAACTAATTATTTAACATCAGTAAAAATTTTTGGACCTTTAACCCCGATTATCTCCGCTAATATAGTTGCTAATACGCTAAAATTTTCTTTATAATCTAATGGGAACATATATAACCAGTCTACAACTTTTTATCGAAATTTAAAGGGGTCGGCCGAAAATCTTGATTTTTTTGCTCATTTCACATGGAATGACCCTCTAAGAGTCTATTTACATTACAGGCAAAAAGATTCTTCAAAGGAGTACTTTGAGGGAAGTCTCAATTATAAAATACCTTATGATTTATATTCTCAAAATGTGATGAATTATTATGAATTCCTGTTAAAGATCATTATTACATGAATAAATTAGAAAAAATTAAGATATTTAATTTCGATGATTTGAAGTTATTAATATTTATTAAATTCTAATAATGTAAATGGAGCATTTTGAACATCAAAAAAAAATTATAAAGTGTTATATTTTTTGATTTTATCAAATAAATTTTATATTAAAATTTTTGAGCATAAATTTTTAAGGCAATAATTAATTAACAATATGATAAATTATCTCTGAAATTTTTAATTACATTGATCAATAAGTTTTTCCTATATTTGATTTTAAAGTTTAATGTTGATTTTCTCATTTTAAACATTTGCGGATGTGGAGCACTCCAATTCTAGATCGATGATATAATGAATTCTCATATTGGTTAATTATGTTTTATAAATGATATAAACTTATTATCATCAATCCTTTCATGTATAGTTCCGTTTGATAAAAAATAACGCACTATAGTTGTTTAGCTAAGGTATAATTACAAGAATAATAAATAAGAAATTATAATAAAGATAACAAAAATAAAGGATTTTAAGACCAATAAATAAAAGATAAAAACCCAAGTTAAAAAGCAATTTAAATAACTCATGTGGGGTCATTTAAAATATTATACGAATAACATATGATTCCGAAATTTATTTCACAAAAATTAATTATTAATTTTAGTATGGAACTTGGATACTTAATAGCATTAATACGAAAATCGAAACTAAATTAGGATGAGGAGTTTAAATTAAAAAAACAAATATTTTGTCTATCCCATTTGTTATATTTATTATGATACTTCGAATTAGCCGCTCTCGGACTTCGGCGATTTTTTTGATCCTATCCATTTTGGTCAGAAGATAGGCGTCATATTCATCTTTTTCCTTTTTTCGCTTTTCAGTTAATTCCTTTCAGATAATTTTTTTAATATAAATATATATAATGTTATTAATTATATTTATCGTATTGCCTTTTTTTCATTAAGCTTTTATTTTATATTCTTTCACTTTTGAAAATATTATTTTTTGAATAAGCAACCAGAGTTGTTAAAGTAGCGCGCTATCTTTTTTGGTAGCTATAGCTAATAGCCGCTACTTTTTTTAAAATTATTTAATTTTTTAGTGCGCTACTTTAAAAAAATATAATGAATGTAAGTATAAACATGAAAATTTAAATATAATATCATAATTAATTATAATTTTTATAATTTATTATTTAATTTTGAAATTTAAATATATTTTCAATTTTTAATTTATATTTTCAATCTGTGTTAATAATCTAAAATGGCATCGCCCATGGATATCCAAATCCTTGAAAGTGATTCGGACATGGAAGATTCAATGGAAGAAAATGTACTTAATAACTCTAATAACGATTTCCCATTCCCTAGATTTGAAAAATTTTTTAAAATAAATATTAAAACAAAATCTGGATTCAAATTCCTGTGCTTAAAATGTAAAAAAAATATATCATCAAATCAATTGAGTAGCTATAACCTGAAGAAACACCTAAAGGTAAATTGTTATTTTTACATTATAATATTATTTATTTTATTAGACTGTTCACGCCAATTGCTATAAGGAAATAGAGAAACATATAAAAAAAATTGGTATAGGAGAATCTTTATTCAAAAAGACAAATACTATCCAAACCAAATTAACTGATAATAAACATGCCAATATTTCACAAAAATTGGCTGATAAAGTAATTGTTGATTTTATTATTGACACAGTTCAGCCATTGTCCTTGGTTGATAATCCATCATTTACTATGATGATTAAAACTTTATCCCCTGGCACAACAGTTTTATGTCGCCAGACACTTATGAATAAAATAGCCAACAAATTCAAAGTGATGAAAGATGCTCTAATAGTAGAGTTATCAGATATATCTTATGTATGTACGACGGCAGATAGTTGGACACATAACAGAAGGTAAAAACTTATTTATATTTATAAATTGATCTGATTAAATATTTTTAGAGCTTATTTGGGAATCACAGGCCATTGGTTAGACCCTAGGACTTTAAAAAGAAGATCTGTAGCCTTAGCCCTTGAAAGGATTATCTGACATATGACGTACTTGCAAATAAAATTATTGACATCCACAAGTCTTTTAGGATTCATAATAAAGTTTGCAAGATGGTTACTGATAATGGGTCTAACTACCTGAAGGCATTTAGGTTATATCACAAATTTATTTATAATATTTATTTTAAGTTATGATTTTTTGGGCAGTAAATTAATCAGAATGGAATGGTTATTATTTAATCTATAAAATATCTAGTATTTTAATATTTCACATTATTTATAGAATTTTTATTAACTAAATACACACATATTTTAGTAATATCATGATTATCATAATTTATATCAAATTATAAATAAAATTAGTGAAATTAACTAATAAAATATAAAACAGAGGTGGATTATTTCATTAATTTTTATTGTACAGTGTCATTGAGCTAATCTAACATTTAATAAGATATGGTTATTGAATATTTCATGGATGATTAGATTTTTACTATATTTATTTCTTATTGATTAATTGCCATCAATTTATATACAGTACAGGGAATTCATTTGATAAAGTATTTTTGCTTAGTTACATTATACTGAGGTTCAAAATTTAGAATACTAAGAAATGATTTTTTTAAACCATTTTTGATAAATATTACTAGACATTTCTATTAAAACTGGATGAATAATTTAATTTGTCCTATTTAATATGAATATAGAATATTTGGTGAGGATAATGCTGAAGATGAGATACAGAATGATAGTTAATATGTATTGGAAGAGGAGGAAATAGGTGTTGATGCCAATGATATTAATGAGATCTTAGAAGAAAGTTTAAATTATTTTATAATACATGTTAATCTAATCAATATTCTATAGGATCTTCAACTAACTCCACAATGTTACCCAGCCGTCAATGCTCCTGTCATAATTTAAATTTGATAGCAACAGTAGATGCTGAAGGAGCTTTAAATGATGAAGATTATAAAAGGGTGTCAAGATCGACATTTTATAAATGTCAAACTTTATGGAATAAGCAGAACAAATCTCCTAAAAGTTCTGACATGTTTAAAAAAAAATTAGGGAGGTATTTATTAACCCCTAATCGTACAAGATGGAATTCTGTATACCAAGCAATAAAACTAATCGCTTTTTTTCTGGAGGAAAGTAGAGATTAATTAACTCTGTGATCTTGTTGAAATTGAATATATTAACGATGAAGAGCATACTTTTATAAAAGAGTATACAGAAGTAATTCTAATTAATAATGATTCATTTCCATATCAAATATTTATTTATATTGCTTATTTTTTATAATCTAAACTAACTATATTTTTATATTTATAAATGTTGATTTTTATATATTATTTATTATACATTTACATTATAAGCAATAAATAAATATAAAAAAATTTGTTTCATTTGTTTCTAAATATTTTTTTATAAAAAGTAGCTTAAAAGTAGCTAATAGCGCGCTACTTTTTTTGACAAATAGCGAAAGCGGTAGCGCGCTACTTTTTTTGACAAATAGCTATAGCGCGCTACTTTTAAAAATAGCGTAACAACTCTGTTAGCACCCCTAACCCATATCTAATCTACTTAACCCTAGCTGATTTTTGTTTAATCTATCTGCTAGAGGATTGGTATTATTTCTAAAGAGAAATCTGTTTAGTTTTATATACTCCTCTAAACTGAAAAAAAAGAAAGATATCATTTAGATTTAGTATACACTAACAAATAGAATAGGGTGTACTAGTTCACTAGCCTAAACAGAAATAAGTTTCAAAGAATAAGGCAAATTAGGACACGACCTTTTTTTAAATGTTGTTAACCCTAGTTAAATCTTATCGTCGTCACCATTGCAAGACCTCGTAAGTAGCATTTTTGAAATTTTTCATGAGAAATAAACAACTATTTTAAATGTTATTAAAATATTATACTTATTAATGAATTTTAACTTTTAATTATAATACTGCTTCTTAAGAATAGATTTTTTTAAAAAAAATATTCACATATACGAGTTTTTGTTGATTAGTTACGAGGCTAACGAAAAATTTGATTTACAATTTTTTGAAAAAATATCATTTACAAAATTTTGATATTTATTTTTTCTTTGTTTTAATGTTATTTGATATAAAAAAACTGGTTTTATTTGTTATTGAGATATAATTTTTTGTGGAATGATATATGGCTTATAGATGCACCCATTTATCCAAAAAAACGTATTTTGAAAAAAAAAAGATATTTACGAGGATTTGCAGTGGTGACGACGATATTTAGTGGTATTTTATATTCATAAAATATTCTTAATAGTTTTTTCTGCCAAATGTTTTAGAATTAGTATAAAATGCTAATATGAATATTAATAATAAAAAAAATTTCATGGTATTGCTGAAAATGAAAAATATAAAATTAAGTTATCCAACCAAAATATAATTTATTTTAGGAAAGTAAGTTAAAACGCAGGGGACACTTGATCGATAGTAATTCATTATTTGAGTCTTTAAAAAAATTAAGTGTTGAGTGTATGTGCAATTCGCCCAAAATTTAGAAAAAGTTTGATTCGTCCCAGATAGTTAAAAATTTACTAAAATAAGCCACGGTCCGAATTTTTTCTATGAATTTTCCGGCCATCAGAATTTTAATATCTATTCTATATTAACTCAGTGTCGAATAAGGTTCTTATATCTCTCCTGAATGGCTATCTATTTCCATAACAACCGTTTTAAATCGTTGTGTTTGACATCTCTGTGCTGTATTTGTTATTAAGTCAATAACTTATTTAATTTCTTACTATATATTATTTATATTTAGTAATTTATTTAAATTGCTTGTAAAATACCCATAAAGAAGCATATTGTAATATTTTTTCAAAGAGTATTAATAAAAATATTAGCTTGGAATTCAAGATAATATATCAAATAGGGGATAATTTGAAATCATTTTATTATATAAAAGTATAGAATAAAATTATATTTCTATTCATATCATAATTATCATACCATCCTTCATCATATTTAATAAATAATAATCGATAATTTATCTCTAACGTTTTAATTTAACACTTTATTTTATAAGAAAAAAATATAAAATAAATAAAAGTATTTTTTAACTTTTTGGATATATTTTAATAAAAAATGAGGGGGGGGGGGGGAGGGGCAGGAGGTAGAGGTGGAATTTTAAAATAAATTGTTTGAATTGAATATTATTAATATATTATTTCATAAAGAAATCCTAATAATTAGGAACTGTGTATAATTATGAAAGCCGGCCCGATTTTTTTTTCTTCTAATTGCTAGGCACGATTTTTCTTTATGCATTACTTGCCAGTCCGACCCATCAGAATTTATTTAAAATTTTTCTTGGCCAGGCTTTACAAAGCTTTAATAGATATAGCTATTTATATTAAATATATTTATAAAATAGGAGCATTAAAAAAACTTTAGCGGCTTGAGTGTAAAGGGCCTTATCTTGAAGATCGTAGACAGTGCTATATTTCTTAAGATTTTTCTTGATTTCCTTGATCTGTTCAGAGGTTATCAAAGACAAGTCTCGCCTAAGGCGCGGTCTCCAATCTAACTCGCGTAATTTGTAGCACAGGTTTTGGGACAAGGGTTTTCCCTGAAATGACCATATTCGATAACCATTGTCTTTCTTTAAAAATTTAATTAACCAAAAAAAATAAAGAAGTAAAAAAATGAGTTCAAGGAATTGATTTAAGCTAAGGAATATTAAGTGTTTTGTAGTCAGTATAAAAAAATTATAGCTATATATCGATATAAATTATATGGGGTAGTTTACAAATATATTATAATGTGTATATTTTTTCAAAAAATGGATATTATTTTGAAATAATATAATTTTAGAGGGAGACAATGAAAAATTTTCTTAAATGTGTAAATGTTTGAAATATTTAAATTTTCGGAAGCGATATTTTTCAATGACTGGCTTGCCATCTTTTAACATTATGCGCTCTAAGGCTTCATAGTTATGGCTTTTAGTACACTAATTTTAATATAAATTAGCTTAGTTTTTCTTTAAAATAAAACCTTTAAACAAAAATACAAGGATAATCAAATTAAATTTTTTTTTAACTTACTTCAAATATAGAAAAAATATTTTATGTAAATTATATTTTCCGTTTCATAAAAATGGAAAAACATTAGGGTGCATTTAAATTTTTGATTATTTTAAAGATATTTTAATTAGATTTTAAAAAAAGAAGGATCTATGAAAAAAATATTTATACCATCTTCCTAGTATTCATAATTAAACACCAAAATAAAAATGCTTAGTAAAAATATCGTTTTTGCCTTTCATATTAAATAATATATACAATCTTATAACAACCCTGGTATAGCAGCTTTATGTAGAAAGAATGTTTTTCTCTTTTGACCTAGGGCAATCCAAATTTAGAAATAAGCGTGAACTCAGAGATCTGCAGAGGTACCATTTTCAAAGTCCGGCCCGGGTTTTATATTTAAGGCCCGGCCCGGATTTTTTAAAAATATATTACATTTATTTTCAATTTTATAGCTAATAATGGCGATTTAAAACATTTGGTTTTAAAATATAAAACATGGCTTGGGTTTTTTTAAAGAATTTTAGGCCAGACATGGGTATATTTAAAAAAATTAAATACGGTCCAGTCCAGGTCTCTGATTGAACTAGAAAAGTGGTAACAATTACTTTTTTCTTCTTTAAAAATAATTTTTAATAAAACCTATATACTTAATTTCTATTTTGAATATTAAACAGCTCATTTTGAGCCGATTTTTAAAAACGGCTAACTAGAGAGAAAATAGTGCATATGTGTCCAAGCTTTTGTGCCATTTATGGTTAAAATCTTCAGGCTTGCCTAATATTTTTCATGATAAAACATTGAGTTAGCTGGTTTGGAAAATCGGCTCAAATCGAGCTGTTTAACAAGATTAGTTGAAGCTTACATTAAAAAAGGAATAGATAAGTATATGATATATGGATAAGTATTATTTTTTAGCGTTACAAATATAAGACCTAATATTGATACAGAATTTTATATTAGCAATTTAATTTTTAAGCTTCAGGAAATGACACCAAATAATTTTGATTTATTAAATTGCTAAAATAAGTTTAAATAAAAATTAAAAAAGATAAAATTGCTTAATTTTTATTTTAACACTCTGAAAAAAATATGGATATTTATATATAAATAGATAATGTATATAAATAAAAAAATAACTGAATAGGCTAAGGAAACTGCAGTAGCTAAATATCTACCAGAAAAATCCCACTTAACGATGTCAACATGAGGATGGGCCACTTCACTCATTTTTGTCATGTCGGCCGTGTCCAAGAATAAGAGGGCGCCATTATCACTATGTTAAATATAAAAATTTTCTAAATTTGAATGAAAGATAAATTGCTGTATATATAAAAAATGATGAAAGATGACAGTGAGGAAATATTTCAAAACACCAATGATACAATTTTAAAAATAAATTATCGTCAAAAAAAAATAAAACAATTTTTTTTTCAAAATGTCATATTTAAAGATTTATTTTTTTTAAATTTTACAAAGAGAATAAATATACTTTGTAAAAAATAACAAGTGTTTCTTTAAAAAAATTCGCATATTAACTGAAATATATTGCAAGCGTGACATGATCTAACAGTTGATCGGTAATTATTATCTTGTAATTTTTAGCGATAAAAAAGTTAACATCCACTAGCAGATTTTATAAACTTGATCAGCTGAGAGTTAACATTGATCTTACTTTTAATTAAACTCACTCTTATAATCTTATTATGTTTTAAAGGAAAAAAAACTTATATAAAAAAATAATGTATACGATTTAGATCCGGTTTCGGCCAGAACTAAAAATTGACCATTTGGACACCAGAATAATTTGTTGTATTTTTGAAGAGTGTATTCCTCTGGAATTTTTCATGAATAAAAAAATTCATAGGTAAATTATAATATTTTTAAGGTAAAGAATGAAGCAGCGGACTAGTCCGGTCGGTTTGGTCTTTAGAATCCGTTCGGGTTTCATATTCGGTTTTTGACCAGTAGAAAAATTACATTTATATCACCTAAGCAATCATTTTCAACAACTAAAAAAATGTAATATTTTTAAAAAATCCGGGTCTGAAAATATAAAACCAGGACTGGGCTGTGAAAATGGTCCCTCTGGATGTCTCTGATATTTATATATAAAATAATAATGAGCAAAATTGAATGTATAAATAATATTATTTAAAATAAAAATGTATCGAATATGCAACAATTTCTAAATATCGCTAATTAACTAACAAGGTTACGTAGTAATTAATTACCAAATTACAATTCATTTTTTTTAAATTAGTTTAAAAAAAGAATAATTAATTAAATCACAACCACATTAATAATTACTTTTCACAGATTTAATTTTTTTTTTATGGCAGATCTATAAAGAAAAATTCTCAGTTGGATCTGAAATTATGTTGTCTTAAATCATCGGTAAGCCCAAAACATTGTTCACTGCAATGCTATTTTAGCTGAGCCCAATATATTTCATTTTTTGATAAAAAATTTTTGGCACAAAGAGTAAAACAAAAGTGATGATTGGTGGGGAAAATCTAAAGATGGAGGAATCCAGTAAGTGGCCTTGTGGTGTATGTGGGAAAGGAGTTGCTAGAAATTCTATCCAATGCACCAGATGCCAGAAATGGGTACATAAAAGATGTAGCGGGAAAAAAGGCAGTTTGATGTTAGAAAGAATGACCTTTATTTGTAGAACATGCATGAAAGGGACACATAATATTGATAACCTAAAAAATGGTGGTCTGGATAATGGCAATGGGTTAACCCTTGAAAAAGTGGATAAGTTTTGTTATTTAGGTGACATGCTAAACGCAGATGGTGGTGTAGATTATGCCGTTGTTGCAAGGATCAGACAAGCTTGAAAGAAGTTCAGAGAGATGTCGTCTATTCTTACAAATAAAAAAGTTTCTCTGAAATTAAAGGGGAAAGTTTACGTAAGCTGTGTGAGGAGTTGTTTAGTTTATGGCGGTGAAACATGGGCAATGAAAGACTCACGAAGCCAAATTAGAAAGAACAGAGATGAGGATGGTTAGATGGATGTGTGGGGTATCTCTGAGAGAGAAAAACTAGCAAGGAATTGCGAGCAAGATTAGGTATAGAAATGATTAGTATGGTATTGCGACGAAATAGACTAAGATGGTTTGGGCATGTGGAACGTATGACAGGTGACTGGGTAAAGAGATGCACAATGATGGAAATAGGAGGATCAAGACCTAGAGGAAGACCCAAGATGACGTGGACAAATGTGATAGCGGCGGATATGAGAAGAATGAATCTTACAAGTATTGATGCTCAGGACCGTCAAAAATGGAAAAGAAAAATCAGAGGGAAAACTGGCCTACCCGGGTAAACCTGGAAATCGCCATAAAACGGAGAAGTAAAGATTCCATTTTTAATATAATTTTCAAATTTATAAAACAGTTATTTATTGAATACAATTCATTTATTCAGTGTCTCTAAAAATGTTTTTACTGGTAGAAATTGATACAAACTTTGAAAATGTTTTTTTGTTAAATCAAAATAATATTTAATATAGATATTAATTTGTATTGCTATTTTTAATATAGATTTGTTAAATATTAATAAACTATAAGATATCCCATCAAAAAATGACAGCTCAATCAGAAATTTCCCATTTATTTAATGGATGAATCAGAAATGTACCTATATTTTGATGAGAGAGTGATTGAGAAATTAGCCATTATTTTGATGAAGTATTTTGTTATTATAAATCAGCTGCAATAGCAAAATTTCAGATCTGGTCAGCTTCAGATCTCTGATCTAAATATATCCACGAAAAATATTCAAATTTTTCTAATCGATAATAAGATTTTTATATTTTAGAGTCCTTTTTTAAAAAAAATAATAGCTGAAATGAGGAATTCCTTAAATATTCCCAATTTTTAACGATTTAGAGTAGGAAAAAAAATTCATATATAATTAGGCAAAATCCCATCGTAATAGCAAAATGAAAAAAATTGTTTGATCAAAAACAATTTTAATAAGTATAAATAAAAAATGGCACGATTATATTTAAAAAAAAAATTTCCTCGAGTTTTTATAATAAAAAATTTATTTACTAAGCATTGTAGGTGGTTTGCCCCCTTTGTTTATCTCGTAGATGTAAACATTTTTACAAGATTGGTGTTCCGTTATGATAGCCAATTTATTTCCCTTAGGTTCGGGTTGAAAATTCAATATTTTATCTTTTAAAAATAAAAATAATGATTCACAAAAGTTGGCAATAATTTTATTTATATAAGTTTTTTTAGCATCTAAATAAAATATATACAAAAGTAGAAGAAAAAAAATCAAGAAATGTAAGAAGATCCATCCTAGATATTCGTGAATGAATATATAAAACATATTTCGAGGGACATCTAAATAAAATATATACAAAAGTAGAAGAAAAAAAAATCAAGAAATGTAAGAAGATGCCACCCTAGATAATCGTGAATGAATATATAAAACATATTTTGAGGGATATCTTCTGAAAAAGATATGGTTCCCTTCCTACCCAAAACTTTGACGAGTTTAAATTAAAAGCGATTATTGCATTATATAATGTTCTATAGAAACGTATATATTATGTTATCAATACCAGACTTTACAAATTAAAAAAAACTATAAACTAAATAAATCATCTAAAGTTGGAAAAATAAAAAAAAAGAATCTAAGCGCTAGTAGCATCACTAGAGGGGGAGGGGCGCGTGGAGGCTCGAATACCCTGAAAAAATTATTTTCTAAATCTAAAAATTTATTGAGGATAAAATCTTAATCGAGCCGTTTTTAAAAATCGACCCAAATGTAACCCCAGTAAAATATGCATATATTTAAAGAATTATTACTTTTAAATTCAATCGTATCCTTAGGAATTTCGGATTCGCGTAGGTGAAATATTTCGAAAACATATGTTATGCCCTTTTTTATACCATATTATTTGTAATATAAAAAAATTATTGCATATATCAATCAGTTAAAAATATAATAATATTCGAGAAATTGGATAATTTTTGTTAAGGCCGTGTCCTAAATCAAAAAAATAATTTCGCAAAAGTTTTGCGAAATGCACAACATGTCCCGAATCATACATTTATTTTCAATTTTAAATTGTTGATATGCATGATATACTATTTCTCTATTTTATATTATTTGAAGATACGACTGAGTCTAGAAGAAGGCATAGATTTTTAGAAGGACGGTATATATGATATGATTTATATTATATGTATTAATTCTAGAGATCAAGGAATTTTTAGAACATTTGATAGTATTCCTTCATATCCTGACAAATTTCGTCAGATGTTCCATATGCATGTGGAAACATTTAATTACATTCTTACAAAATTGGAATCTATAGACACCACTATAGTTATACATAAAAATTCTATCAGTATGAAGCATAGACTATATATAACACTCATGTATGATGATTATTTTTTTATATAATATCTATATATTTATAGATATTTGACAACTGGTATGAGCTTTAGAAAAATAGCTTTATATGCTAAGATTGGCAAAACATCAGTAAGTACAATAGTTACATCAACTTGTAGATTAATATGGATTGGTCTTCAACCCAAGCATCTCTGTTTACCAACAGTTGAACAGATGCTTGAAATTTCAGCAGAATATTTCAGGAAATCAGGTTTTCCTCATATAATAGGATCTATTGATGGAAAACATGTTAAAATAAAACAACCTAAAAAAAGTGGTTCCACATTTTATAATTATAAAAAATACAACTCCATTGTCATTCAAGGTATTTCAGATGATAAAGCTAGGTAATTATATATTTTCTAAATTTTAATTCTTTTCTAGATTCATGTTGATTGAAGTTGGCTTTCCTGGGTCTATCTCAGATAGAAGTATCTTTTCAAAGAGCCTATTTTATGAAGGAATGATCAATAAAATCATCAAGATACCCAATCCAAATTTTTTTACCATCTACAGATATTATAGCACCTTATGTATTTGTAGGTGATGATGCTTATCCCCTATTGGATTTTATTATGAAACCCTACAAAACTAATTTGAATGATAATAAATCAACTTTCAATACTAAATTATCAAAAGCCAGAGTATCAATAGAGAGATGCTTTGGCATCATGAGTGCCAAATTCAGACATCTTTACAAACCTTCAGAAACAAATATTACAAACACTATACAAATAGTTAAGGCTGACTGCCTTTTGCATAATATTATAATAGATCTTGAGGGAAATCATAGCACAGATATAAATCATGAACAATACCCAATACTCAATTTTACCCAATCTCAGTTCCAGCGATGGACTGAAAGCTCTAATAATATTAGAGAAACTTTTAATTTATTTGTAAATAATTATATGTAAAATTTTTGTACACATTAATTTTTGATTCCCATAATCTTATATTTCTTAATTCCCATAACCTTATATCTCTTATGAATGTTTTCATTTGTCAAAGTAATATAATTTATTTATAAATATTCAATAAAAAGTGCAAATAAAAGTGTTGTTTTGATTACATTATATAAGTAAGTTATTTCTAATTAATTTAATGAGTAAGACAAATGACTAAATTTCAATAATTTTTATTATAAATAAATATACAAAATATGTTTAACATATTATGGTATTAAAAATTAAGATATAAATATGTATAAATTAATTAAAAAAATACAGTATAAACTAAACTAACATTGTTGTTATAAATTTTAATTTAAAATCAAAAATTTCTTTATCAGTCATAATATTAAATTGAGCTTGATATGATTTGAAAAAACCCATAATATTATGGGGATCATCTCCTTGGGATGTATGTTTGGCAGCAAAACCTATTTTAAAAATTAATAATTATTAAATATATAAATGTACCCCTAAATATCTCCATTTTTTCATCTTCATACTTCTTAGATTTTTTAGCTTTAGATTTAGGAGTATCTAAATTCTTCCTCTTTGAGCTACATGGATTAATATTTTCTTTATTAAAAGAATTGTCTAACTATAATTAAATTAATAATATATACATAAAATTAATTTAACCTCTAAAATTTCTTATATATCAGTAGGATTAACAATATCAGTTAAAAGATCATGTGTATTTAACTCGTAATCCTAATATATAGTTCATTATATACATTTCATGTTATAATACCTGTGATGATGTTTGTACATTCACCACATCTTGGATATTTTGTTCATAATCCTAAAATATTGTTATTATATAATTATAATTTCATGTTATAATACCTGTGATGATGTTTGTACATTCACCACATCTTGGATATTTTGTTCATAATCCTAAAATATTGTTATTATATAATTATAATTTCATGTTATAATACATGTGAAGATATTTGATCCAAACTAAAACTTGCCTCTGCATTCTTACAAATATCTTCCACATTTTCTTTTAGCCAAAAATAATCTTCTATAAATTTCAAGTGCCTACTGCTTATCATAGCAGCGCCAGAACCTATATAAAATTAAATTATAATATATTTAATAATATCATACCTGATTTTTTTGAAAGGGAATAAAATTTATTAAATTTTGACTTTATAGCTGTGAACTTTTTTTTTATTTGCTCATAGTTTAATTCATATATCTTCCCTATCTCTTCCCATTTTATTTTACTTGCTGCAGTGTCTTTATATTTGAGGTCCCTATTACACCAAAGAAATCTATGAGGCCTTATTTTTTCCATCAAATTAGATTCATTCGCTATCTTTTCGCACAAATTACAAAAGTTTAAAGAAAAAAAGATTAAAGTTTTACGAATCGTAAAATTTGTAAGAATCGTGTAATATGCGCAAAATCGAAAAAATCATTTAGGCCAACATTTTAATTTTCCGTTTAAAATGGCTTATATTATTTTTTTCGTTAAACTCGCGCAAATTGCGCGAGATTATTTTTATGCAATTTTTTATATTTAGGACATAGCCAAATAAAAAAACCGCAGGGCCGGGCAAATAATTTTGGAGCCCAGACTGGACCTAAAATAAATTTTTTCTAACCGAATTAGGATTCGAAATAATAATAAACCTAGGCTCTATCTAATCAACCAGTATAAAATATCACATGGTATATTTATTTAAACATTCATTCGCTTTTAGCATTTTTCGACAAAGTAATTTGCTGTACAGAAAACTCGTTTTAGGCTATGTCCTAAATATCAAAAATTGCATAAAAATAATCTCGCGCAATTTGCGCGAGTTTAACGAAAAAAAATATAAGCCATTTTAAACGGAAAATTAAAATGTTGGCCTAAATGATTTTTTCCATTTTGCGCATATTACACGATTTTTACAAATTTTACGATTCGTAAAACTTTAATCTTTTTTTCTTTAAACTTTTGTAATTTGTGCGAAAAGATGGCGAATGAATCTAATTTGATGGAAAAAATAAGGCCTCATAGATTTCTTTGGTGTAATAGCGACCTCAAATATAGGGACACCGCAGCAAGTAAAATAAAATGGGAAGAGATAGGGAAGATATATGAATTAAACTATGAGCAAATAAAAAAAAGTTCACAGCTATAAAGTCAAAATTTAATAAATTTTATTCCCTTTCAAAAAAATCAGGTATGATATTATTAAATATATTATAATTTAATTTTATATAGGTTCTGGTGCTGCTATGATAAGCAGTAGGCACTTGAAATTTATAGAAGATTATTTTTGGCTAAAAGAAAATGTGGAAGATATTTGTAAGAATGCAGAGGCAAGTTTTAGTTTGGATCAAATATCTTCACATGTATTATAACATGAAATTATAATTATATAATAACAATATTTTAGGATTATGAACAAAATATCCAAGATGTGGTGAATGTACAAACATCATCACAGGTATTATAACATGAAATTATAATTATATAATAACAATATTTTAGGATTATGAACAACGTATCCAAGATGTGGTGAATGTACAAACATCATCACAGGTATTATAACATGAAATGTATATAATGAACTATATATTAGGATTACGAGTTAAATACACATGATCTTTTAACTGATATTGTTAATCCTACTGATATATATGAGAAAGAAATTTTAGAGGTTAAATTAATTTTATGTATATGTTATTAATTTAATTATAGTTAGACAATTCTTTTAATAAAGAAAATATTAATCCATGTAGCTCAAAGAGGAAGAATTTAGATACTCCTAAATCTAAAGCTAAAAAATCTAAGTATGAAGATGAAAAAATGGAGATATTTAGGGGTACATTTATATATTTAATAATTATTAATTTTTAAAATAGGTTTTGCTGCCAAACATACATCCCAAGGAGATGATCCCCATAATATTATGGGTTTTTTCAAATCATATCAAGCTCAATTTAATATTATGACTGATAAAGAAATTTTTGATTTTAAATTAAAATTTATAACAACAATGTTAGTTTAGTTTATACTGTATTTTTTTAATTAATTTATACATATTTATATCTTAATTTTTAATACCATAATATGTTAAACATATTTTGTATATTTATTTATAATAAAAATTATTGAAATTTAGTCATTTGTCTTACTCATTAAATTAATTAGAAATAACTTACTTATATAATGTAATCAAAACAACACTTTTATTTGCACTTTTTATTGAATATTTATAAATAAATTATATTACTTTGACAAATGAAAACATTCATAAGAGATATAAGGTTATGGGAATTAAGAAATATAAGATTATGGGAATCAAAAATTAATGTGTACAAAAATTTTACATATAATTATTTACAAATAAATTAAAAGTTTCTCTAATATTATTAGAGCTTTCAGTCCATCGCTGGAACTGAGATTGGGTAAAATTGAGTATTGGGTATTGTTCATGATTTATATCTGTGCTATGATTTCCCTCAAGATCTATTATAATATTATGCAAAAGGCAGTCAGCCTTAACTATTTGTATAGTGTTTGTAATATTTGTTTCTGAAGGTTTGTAAAGATGTCTGAATTTGGCACTCATGATGCCAAAGCATCTCTCTATTGATACTCTGGCTTTTGATAATTTAGTATTGAAAGTTGATTTATTATCATTCAAATTAGTTTTGTAGGGTTTCATAATAAAATCCAATAGGGGATAAGCATCATCACCTACAAATACATAAGGTGCTATAATATCTGTAGATGGTAAAAAAATTTGGATTGGGTATCTTGATGATTTTATTGATCATTCCTTCATAAAATAGGCTCTTTGAAAAGATACTTCTATCTGAGATAGACCCAGGAAAGCCAACTTCAATCAACATGAATCTAGAAAAGAATTAAAATTTAGAAAATATATAATTACCTAGCTTTATCATCTGAAATACCTTGAATGACAATGGAGTTGTATTTTTTATAATTATAAAATGTGGAACCACTTTTTTTAGGTTGTTTTATTTTAACATGTTTTCCATCAATAGATCCTATTATATGAGGAAAACCTGATTTCCTGAAATATTCTGCTGAAATTTCAAGCATCTGTTCAACTGTTGGTAAACAGAGATGCTTGGGTTGAAGACCAATCCATATTAATCTACAAGTTGATGTAACTATTGTACTTACTGATGTTTTGCCAATCTTAGCATATAAAGCTATTTTTCTAAAGCTCATACCAGTTGTCAAATATCTATAAATATATAGATATTATATAAAAAAATAATCATCATACATGAGTGTTATATATAGTCTATGCTTCATACTGATAGAATTTTTATGTATAACTATAGTGGTGTCTATAGATTCCAATTTTGTAAGAATGTAATTAAATGTTTCCACATGCATATGGAACATCTGACGAAATTTGTCAGGATATGAAGGAATACTATCAAATGTTCTAAAAATTCCTTGATCTCTAGAATTAATACATATAATATAAATCATATCATATATACCGTCCTTCTAAAAATCTATGCCTTCTTCTAGACTCAGTCGTATCTTCAAATAATATAAAATAGAGAAATAGTATATCATGCATATCAAACAATTTAAAATTGAAAATAAATGTATGATTCGGGACATGTTTCGTAGCTCGCAAAACTCGCTAAAGTTGTGCATTTCGCAAAACTTTTGCGAAATTATTTTTTTGATTTAGGACACGGCCTTAATAAAAATTATTTAATATTTAATATATATATATAAATATCATCTATGGATGATATCAAGTAAAATATATAAAAAAAACATGTTTGAGCATTCCCCTAAATATCTTTGAATATTTTTTCTTTTAAGGAGCATTTTAAACTCTGCTTTTAATGATATTATTTAATTCTAATTAATAAATAAAAAACAATACACAGATAGATAGTGGACAATCTAAAATTTTTGCTACGTAAAATAAATATGGGCACACTCAGGCACATACTCATTCTTCTATCTTATATGATGTTGAACATTATTTTGGTATCAAAAAAATTCGAATGCAACTGAAGGAATAACACGTTCGGTAAAGTCATCTTTTATTAGTGAATAGAGGTTCCATGAAACTTTTCTCATAATTGGAGATATCAATTATTCTTTAGTCTTGATCTTGGCCATTCTACCAACAATAAACATGTCGCTAATAGTTGGAGGGGGGGGGGAGGAGTATCAACAACACCACCCTGAAATATTTTTTTGAGCAAAACGTGTAAGAACTAAAATATCAAGATAGGCTTGGCGAGGTTCATTGGTTCAAGACTCCAATTTCAAAGATATATTTGCCTCGCCTTATCTCTTATTATCCTTGTGGTAAAAAAGATTTAATTTTTTTTAAAGTTTTACCGAATATTTGATTATGTTATCGTTCCCTTTCTTCTTTTTAGCATATCTCTCACTGAACACCGTCAAGTAATAATCCCCCCAGAGCATTTTGCAATTTGTCACCGTGCCAAGGGTGGAACTGGGCCGGCATTCGATTTTATCGGGTATGCTTATGATGAATAGCTTGGCCGGGATCTCCTTCTCTTCCCGAACCCAATAGGAAAGTATATTGCTGGATGGGCACCATTCGAAATCCCTAAATTTTTTGCAAGATTGAGGATGGGTAAAAAAATGGAGTATATTATATTTTTATTTGTGACGGTTGTTATTGAACGTCAACCAAAATCGGTTTCGATCGCTCCACATAAAAAATAAATTAAAGTAGTCAGTTGCTTTTATAGCGTATTTAGGACTAGATATTCTATAAATATATATTTTTTAAACATATAAATGAATCTTACACTATATCCTTGATGATCATCGGATTTTTGTCTATGAGCGAAAATTTCTAAAGAAAAGAAATAATTACTTTATAGATACGAAACATTTTTAAAATTTTATTAGGAAAAGAATGTAAAATACAGATGAAAGATTTAGCCTCTGACCTGATCTTTATAAATTATCATCTACAATTCTATGTACTCTAAAGGGTACGCTATTATTAATTCTTTCCACATTTTTGCGATCGTTTAAATGTAATTTTGCTTAATAAATTTTAAAGGGGAATTTCCCAACCCCTTCTCTCTCTTTCTCTATGCTTGGCCTATTCTTCAAAAACATTCTTTTAAAGAAATCGAATAATTTACATTGAGTAATTATATAAATCATTTGTTCAAATAGAATAGCAAATTATTCCATGTTTAAACGAATCGAATAAAAATAATTCGTTATTCGATTAACATTCATTTTTGAACCAACTATAGGGCCACATTTATAGTAAACGCGTTAGACGTTATTTAACGCAGTGTTATTAACAAAAGCCAATAAATAAGTAAAATTTATAAATATGGAGGGTTTTGATTATAACGTTATGATAAAATTTGAAAAATATTATGTTGAGACGTATTTTTCAAAAATTATTAATGCTATGAAGAATCAGCTGTGATTTCGATAATGTTAAATAAAGCAACGCTTGAACTTAAAGCGTTTACTATTATTAGAATCTTTTATTCTCACAAGTAAAATATTTTTATGTAGAAATAAAATAATATTTTATAAAACATATTATTTACGGTTGTATTGTAAACGCACAATTTATCCGGACCCGAAATGCGCGCAAAATATGATCCATCAAAACTCCATCTGTAATTATTTTGCATTTTTTGTTATATAGAAAACATTAATAATTTTTAATGAAAGAATTAGCGTCAACGGGATTAGTAAGCCCTACAAAAAAATACGAAAATATTATGGTCATTGACACGAAAGGAAAATATCGAATGATCCTATCCCTAACCATCGATCGATCCTACACCAAAATCCTCTAGCGGATCTGAACTCAAGCTTATAAAATTCTGGTCCCATTTTTTATCGGTTTCGGATTTACAAATATTTTATCCGGCTGGGTCGGTACAGAATTTCATTCTTAAAAAAAAGAACTCACTTATAAATAAAAAATTTAAGTATTAATTTTTTTTTGATAATTTATTTTAGTATATCCAGCAATAGAATAAGTATAATTAATCGACAGTATTAAAATATTTTTATTCATTTAGAGACGATTATTTGTGTCGAAACCTACTTGAGTTTTATTAATTCCGCATGTTTTAAACTAGGGTAGTGAACCCAAATTATGATTCAAAAATTATAAATTTTTTAGTTTGACAGTTTGAGACCCCGGGCCAAACAGAGACCAATTTATGGATAACCCATTGAACCCGGGGTAATATAAATTCGGGGCGGGTTCTGACCTGTTTCAGAAATGTCTTTAAAAAAATCTTCGAATGTCAAATCGATCAACAATTTGATTGACTCTTTTTATAAAAAAAATTGATGAAACTTGGAGAGTTTATTTTATATGTTGCAATATTTATATAAATCAAAATGTTTTCACAATGTTTAAACTTTAGATCAATTGAATCTGGAGTTATGTGACTCTCAAAGTCCAACATAGATGCGATCTCGGGTTTAAAAATCCCAAATTACTAGATATATATTTGGTTCAAATTGAAAGCCTGATTAAAAAATCTTTAAATATTTTTTTTGCCCTAAAAAACTTTTTCATAATATTAAAGATTATTGTTTTAAAGATCAAAAAATTTACAAAAAACATTTAGAATTTTAGGTTTTTTTCACATATCAACCTTTATTTTTTATTTCGTCTTATAATTATAGTTGGGTAATAGGTAAATGCCTGCTAGTGTTGTTAATGGCTCTATTTTTAAATATGGCTAACCCAGTACTTTTGCCAAAGAATATGATAAAACCTCGAGGTTAAAAGATGTCCAAAGTGCCATCTATAAGCAATTAAAGGCATGCATAATATTTCTGATTAAATATCGGGTTGGCCATTTTAAAAAAATCGAGCCGTTTAACAACACTAATGTCCACTAATTCGGCCTCAATCTACAGGCGTGTGCCGGAGACGCGTAGGCGTTTTATATTAATATTAATTTATTTTAAATTTGAGCTGTTATATTCTTAAAGAAAAAATTCCGAGGCCAAAGTGATAGTTTGCGGCTAAAAAATTGGTTTAGCCAAATTTTTTAACCGACTAAAATTTAGCTTAAAATATATTAATCACCAAACTATATATATAACGGGTGGAGATTCATAGTTCAGTCAAAAAAAATTTTTTTAGGATTTTCATTTTTCCTTACATTTTCTCACATTGAGATGCTAAACCATAATTATATTTATTTAACTTAATTAATGCATACCCTACATTCACAATACTTTGCCGTGAATTCACAAGAAGCATGATTCTGCATTCATTTTTCTAAAAAATAGCGCATAATTATTGAGGATGTGTATTTAAGTCATCCAAAAAAGAGTTTTTTTAAAAATATATTACTAATTTTCCAGAATTTTAAAAAATTAAAAATAACATTTTCTAATTTATCTCGCTATACTAAATATCAATTTTACTTAATTTATGCTTCTATAATTGGGGATCCATAGTTTAGTAAAAAATAGTTTTTTGATATTTAAATTTTTTTTAAAAAATTAATATTTTCCAAATCCCCTCAAAGAGCTAAATATTATATTCATTTTTTTAAATTATAGCCTTTTTAATATGGGATACATAAGGATTCATAGTTTAGTCAAAAAAGTGGTTTTCCAATATCCCAATAAGTTAGCAAATTTTAAAAAAATTAATATTAACATTTTATGAATCCTTTTAAAGAGATGATTCTACATTCATTTTTTAAAAATAGCGCATAATTATCAAGAATGTGTAGGGTAGAAATGACTATTTTAATCAATTTTTTTCATATTTTACTAATTTACCATTTTTTTAAAAATATTTTAAAAAATATTTCCGAATCACCTTGATAAGTTAAACCAGATTCTATAAACTTTGTGCATCTATAATAGGGGATGCATAGTTTTCGGGAATGCCTTCATTTTTTTTAATATATAAATTTTATAATACATGGAAAAACATTTAAATCAATAATTTATTATATTGAAAATAACTTGAAAGGAGGCCAAAATGGTTTATCCAAATAAATAGGAGTGGTGTTGTAAGAAAAAACCATGAGTTTAGCACCAGATAACACTTCCCAAAGTATGAGAGGCTCACCTTTCTCAGTCATTTTTCCACTAAATGTTATAAAGTACCTTAAAAAATTTATATAATTTATTAAAAAATTGATATCTCATTCAAAAAAATTGATATTTATGTAAAATATCTTTTTTCATTGTATTCAAATTTTATATTAGAAATCTGAAAGACCCAGTCCATACCCAGCCTGGCCCAAACAGGTTTAAGCCTATTTTTTTACTATGATTAGACTGGGTTGATACTTTTTAAAAAATTTGAGATGTGTTTAAAATTATAAATATGATTTACTTTTTTTTAAATTTTTTGAAGAACAAGGCAGCAATATTTTCTATTTGCAAAGTATTAATTTTATAAGAGTTAACAGTCCATTTTAATAGTAGCTAGCTCCTGCTCCTATTTCCCCAAAAGGAGCTAGCTCCCACTTCCACTTTTAATTTTTTAAAAAGAGCTAGCTCCCGCTCCAAGTAATGGAGTGCCACTCCATAGCAGCTCCTTTGATTTTCATTTTTTTTAGAAAGTACACAAAACAAAATCATATTTTTTATCAAAAAAGTTTTATTTATATTAAATGATATATTAAAATATTTATAATTTTTATTAGCTTTTAAAAGTAATAAATTATCTAAATTTGAATCTAACAAACATCTACACCTCTCCCCTAAAACCTGTTTAGCAATACTAAACAGACACTCCATAGGAGTACTAGAGGGAAGCAGGGTATTTTATTTTCTAAAAATTTAATTTTAATTCAAGAAATTTATCAAAAATAGTAATTTTGATATCATTATTTGAAAAATATTTGGCCATATATTATTTTCCTGATGATCAATTTCATGGAATGCAAAAAAATCTTCCAAATCATTGCAGGGTTCCTGTGCATTAGTAGCTATTTTTGCATCAGGAATTTGTTTTCTTAAAAAATTAATTAATTTGTATTTTAGTTCCATATTTTGTGTATTTTTTTTATCCATTTCCAATTTAATTTCAATGCAGGATGGATAATAGGCACAATATTTTCATCATCATAATTTGAAAATGCAATAAAGTTATTTAAATAGATAATTTATTTATTATAAACGTTTTATTATATTAATACCACTTATAAGAGAATCTACAAGAGGTTGGCAAAATTCTAAATTTACTAAGTCATTTATTTTTGAAGTAAGTTTAGAAATGGTTAGAGTTAAGAAACCCATATCAATATGAAGCTCTCCTTCAATGATTTTAACTGTTTTAGAGTAGAAAATATTTTTTGTATGATGAAAATGGAAATTTGATTCGTTCTTCTATGATGTAAATATCAAAAACTATTTTTTATTATATATCTATAAAATACATTAATATGACTTAGATTTTCCAATAAAATTTTCAATATAAAAAGAAAGAAAAACATGATGTTTGATAGTTTAAAACTCAGTTCAACATTTAATATTGCATAAATTTAAATAAAATGATATTCATTTTTATTGGATTTTTATTAACAAATAAATAGATTTATTTTTAAAAAAAATAAATTAATTATTTGCTACTATATTTTGACAACATATCATACCAGTAAATATTTAAATAAAGTAACCCATGACCGAAAAAAAAATAATTTATATATTAAATTTAAAAGAGTGGTGAAGCTCCAGCCCTAAAAAGAGCTAGCTCCATCTACAGGTTGAAAAAGTGTAGCAAACAACATTTTTATAATAAAAAAATATTAAATTTTTCAATATTTAATTAAATTTGGACCAGGCCAAAATGACAAATAATTTTTATTTTAATTTTGGGCCAGGGCTTTTTTGGGATAAATAAATGGAAATTTGTTCTGGATTGTTCCAAGCAAATTTTATACAAAAAATATTTGAGCGATGCCAGGCTTGAAATAGGCCAGATATAGATTCATTTATATTATAAATTATTTTCCCTTTCCCTTTTTTTAAAAAAACAAAAACATTTATATATAATTATTTGTTTGATTATAAATCAAATACCTTTCACAGGGTGAGAAAAATATGTACTCAGCATAAGGATGCAAAAAGCGTTGAATTTGTTCAAAATGACTTGTCCCATAGAGACGTATGCCTTTTGGGTGAAATGTTACTAAATAAGTACCTTGAGGAGACCAACTTGCCTTTTTATCAGTCCATTTCTATTAGTTTTATTAAACAATAGATTTATCATTTAATAATTATTTTCCAATATTAATAATCAGAATATTTATATATTCAAACTTCTTTATCAATTATTAGTTGAGGGCCAGTGATAATATTTAAATAAATTGATAATAGACATTCTTTATTTTCTTGCTCAGACAAAACTAAAAATTGATCATATCCTTCAGGATGCAACAACCAATCATATAAATTATCCTAAAATAATCTAGCTATGTATGGGTTAAATAATTAATACTATTTCTTTGTAAGGTAGAGGTTGAATGGGCTCAGTTATTTCTGTATAATTTTCATATCTAATCACATGTTACATAGTAGATAAAATAATAATTTACTTTTCTATATCACTTAACAAATTTACTCTTATTGTATGTGTTTTATCTAAATGATAGCCATTGAACTGTTTTACTGCTTGCTTTGCAGCCTCCTCTGTAGCATATTCAAAAAAGAAATATCTATATAAAAATAAATATAAATAATTTCATTAAAAAAAACCCCTTGGTCATTCCTTCTTTATTTAATGGATAAAATTCATTTGCAATTTCTCCAGGATTTTTAAACAATTTTAATATAACACTTTTCAATCTATTTAATCTTTCACTTCCAACAATTGGTACATTATCAATGATTATTACATTTTCGAAGGCTTCTGGAGGCTGAGGTCTTTTCGCAAGGAAGTCACTTAAGAGTTCTATGTAAAGAAATATATCTTTATAACTATATAAACATTATACCCTGATCTGAAATATCATCCACAAAGTCCTCATTATCACTGTAGCATGCGTTATTTGTTCCGTTTTGTTTAATTTCGCCAATGTCTTCTAGATCATCAAATTGATTTGATTTGGATATAGGCTCATGTCTTTGAATAACCATGCTCCAAAAAAATTGACAAATCGTCAAATAATACTTTTATGAATGACTATTAAATTTTATTTTTGATTAAAAATTTCAGGAATGCTTCAGAGCACCCGGTCAGGAAATAAGAATACCGAAAATACAAGTATGTTTTAAATTATAGGATTTTAATATGATAATTAAATAGATTTTTTTATATATTTTACCAGATTGTGTTGTGATATCAACAGGTATATGTTAAACTTGCCCACATTAAATACAGGGGGCGTCGGTAATGGTTGCTAAAGTGTCTCCTTTTTCTAGCATCAATTTCAATTTTTAAATAATTAACATTCAAAAATATATATTAATATCAGAGTTGTTAGGCTACATGTAGCGCGTTACTATAGCGCGCTCTTTTTTTTTGGTAGCTATAGCTAATAGAGCGCTACTTTTTAGAAATATAGTGAATGTAACTATAAACATGAAAATTTAAATATAACATCATAATTAATTATAACTTTATAATTTATTATTTAATTTTGAAAGTTGAATATTTTCCATTTGTAATATATATTTTTAGTTTGTATTATAAACTTAAATCATCTGGTAATATTAATGAAATGGAAGGTACCCTGGAAGAAAGTGTTCTTGAATAATACAATCCAAAATTTGCAAATATTTTCAAATTAATGTAAAAACAAAAGGTTGCTATAAATTTATTTCTTCTAACTGTAAAAAAAAAATATATATCTTAAAATGAATCTAGTAACTATAACCTCAAAAAAACATCTAAATATAATTGTCATTATTAAATTCTAATATTAATTTTATTTTGTAATAATGTTTATGCCAACAGTTCTAACTAGATAGAATAATAATTCTGGCATAGGGGAGACTACATTCAATGATTAATAATATTGACCATGCCATTATTACTTAGAAACTGGCTGATAAAGTTATTGCCGATAATTGATACAGTTCAGCCAATGTCATTGCTTGTAGTATTTAAAAAGCCAGATTTGGGTTGATTTTTAAAATCGGCCCTATTAAGATTTAGCCAAAATAATATTGTGTAAGCCTCAAGATTAGTCAAGTAGAAGTTTAAACCTTTCTGCCATCTATGAGCAAAATCTTGAGGCTTACACAATATTATTTTGGTTATAATATAAATCAGGCCGTTTTTAACAATCGACCCGAATCGGGCTTTTAACAACACTAATTAATTGATAATCTATTATTTACTATGAAAATTAAAACTCTATCCCCTGATACAACAATTTTTTGTCGTTAGGCACTAAGAATTGAGATAGCAGACAAAAATGGATTCCATTGATATTTTTTTGAAATAGAGGATACTAATATAATATAAAATCCCCTAGAGGCGTTTTTTAAATCTAAAAATGCAAATGAGTATTTTTGTTAATTTCGCTTATGCCTTGCGCTTAAGTGCTACTCTACTTTCAGATTGTCGCTCTAGACTTGGGAGTATTAAAATGCAACTAAATAAAAAATGAATATTAGCATAAATAGTTATTTTTATTACATAAATTCAGAGTTATACATTTGCTCAAAATAAAAAGATCTTTGAAGGATCGTAAAATTTGAAGATCTTTTATTTTTTAAAAATGTTGTGTAACGATCTTAAAAGATCTAGATCTTTGAAGATCGCTGCGATCAACGATCTCAAAAGATCTTCATGATATTTATTTTTTTACCCCTTTATTAAAAGCCCAGATGTTTTTCAATTTTATTAATATAATATTTCTTTTATGTTTTATACCTCTCCTCCTGCCTTGATGAAAATTGAAAAACATCTGGGCTTTTAATAAAGGGGTAAAAAAATAAATATCATGAAGATCTTAGAAGATCGTTACACAAAATTTTTAAAAAATAAAAGATCTTCAAATTTTACGATCTTCAAAGATCTTGCTCAAATTTTTGAGCTAGATCTCGCTCAAAAATCTTCATAGAAGATCTTTTGTACAACTCTGCATAAATTATAGTCTTTTTACATAAATTTTTTTATAATTAAAACTAACTATAGTTAAATATTTATAAATGATCATTTTATTTATTATATACAATGCAATTACATTATAAGCAAAAAAAAATAGCCAATAGCGAGTTACTTTTTTATGTTTTTGATAAATGGCGATAGCAGTAGCGCGCTACTTTTAAAGTTAGGGTTTAACAACTCTGATTAATATTATAATTAAAGAGACTTCTTATAAAGAGTGTATATATTAATTAAATTTTATTTCCTTGTGGCATTAAATTATTTTATTATTATTTCCTTTCTTTCGCATTAGGCTATTTATATAATTGATGCTTATATCTCAAACGAAATATGCATCGCTGGATATTTTTCAAGTGCAAACAAATAATAAATAAAATTTATAATCCAAAGCAATGTAATTTATTTCATCGCATCTGGCGGTCATTGTAAAATTTGAATAACATTAACTTGCTTTTAAAAATACGCAGGGATGATTGTCGCATTGTTTGGGCGATACATGATTATTATAAATGAGGTAAAAAATAAAATTGTGAAAAATCAAAATTATGGGAAAAAAGTATATAATCCATTTACAATTATTTATCAATATTTTATAAATTATCATACTATTAAATGACCTCACACAATCAAAATCTGAAAAAACCTAATAGAAGTAAAAATTTAAATATTAAGTAGTTCTTCAATCAACTCAAAAATATTTTTCCATTGATTATCAAATTTTTTCATTTAATAGATGCCCCTCAATCTTTTATTTTATTTAAAATATGGAATTCCTAATTTTAATCAATTTGGAAATCATTAAAATTAAAATCTCATGTAACTTCGCTTTTTTTGATCGGACCTCTTCCTAATTTGGTACTTTTTCTCTTGATTGAACATTTTCCTTTTTTATTCAGATCTTTTCCCTTTTTGATTAGAACTTTACCTTTTTTGATTGACAATATTTATTTTTTGATTAAGAATTTTCCTTGTTTTGGAAATAAATATTTTTTTTGACATAACAATTTCTTTATTAAATTCCTAATGTAAGAAATGATACACAAATAATTCTTTCATCTGATTATTTAAAAACGGAGGTGGTTCTACAATCCAAAAAATAAAAATAATTATATTTTAAAATGGTATTTGTATTTTTTATTATAAAAAATAAAATTCTTTGGGTTTGATGAATGACATTGATTGGTAAAAAAATAAAATTTGTTATTTTCGAATATTTAATTGTTTATTTTTCTCGGCTATATTAACCAGGTTAGAATTTAATTTTTTGGAATGAAGAGAGAGGCATGTGAAGTTCCAAATTAACCTAAAGACCAAGTTACAGAAGTTAAGCCATCTGATCTTAGGCTAACATCTGATGATAAATTAGCAGACTCAAGGATGTTTGGTATTCGGGCTCTCGTGAGAGAACGGCTAATGACTGAATTAATTGCTGTGTCTTGCAAGTCTGCCTTGACTATATATACAATTAACATCATGTCTCTCTTTAGAATCAACTAATATTTTACATTTTATGCATATAAGTGGTTAAACTATATTACATCCAATTCGATGGCCTATGGCACCTCTTAATTGTTCATCTGAAGGCTACCTAGGTTACGAATTGGTAATGCTTCAAACCATTCATAACCATCAGTATAGTCATCATTTTGTAATAGTTGAATATATTCTAAAGGGGAGGTTTGATGAGAATATTTAAAAAAAATTTTTAATTAAAGGTTCGAAAATTGATGTGTTAAAATTGAGGGTAAAACAGCTTAGGTAAAGCTAAAGATATCCAAGCTGTCAAGGCCAAATTTAAAGGTTATCTTTAGGGGTGATAAAAGAAGATATCATGGCGTTGTTCATCAAGCGCGATGCCAAAAATAAAGAAAAAGATAAGATTTAATGTATATAAGTCTAAACCACCCATTTTCGAGGGTAATTGTGAAAATTGAAGTTAATGCCTAAAAATATTAAAGTTAATATCTATCATTTGAATACCCGAAATTAATCAAGATTTTCTAAAAACATAACTTGTAAGTTGTTAAGTGTCGATAAAGTTGATTTTAAATTTTATTTTATTTACGAAATAATTTTTAGTTTATGTTAACGTTTTATTTTATCGTATTAACATTATTTTAAAATCAATTTATTTTGACAATTAATATATTTTTTGATATCAAGTTATATTCAATTTTAAACGAACATTTCCATTTTATATAATTGGTTATTTTATAATTTATTTTTTTTTAAAAAAAGATATAAAAGGAACATTTTTTTTGTTAAAGGAGGATAAATAAAATGTAATTCATAATAATAAAAAAAAAGAAAAAATGTAATTTATTTTAATATGAATAATCAAAATGTAATTGTAATAATATAAAGAATAAAAATGTTATTATATGACAATTCTTTATAAGTATTTTATATTAACATTCCTCTCTAGAGAAATTTGCAAATATTTTGCCAAAACCGCTCCTTGTTTATTTTTGAATTTCAGGTTGTTGAATATATCTCGATTCTTCATCATCATCGATATCAATTTGATTTTGTTATTAGTTTTAATTGATTGCGATTTGTCTATCGTATTCCAACAAGTTTTGTTGATGTTGGTTGTCATTTAATATTGCAATTATCTGTTTATGATTTTCATAATTTGTTATTATTATTCTTCTTTTTTAAATCATCATTTATTTTATCTTATCTTATATTTTATTTTATCATTGTTAATTTTAATTCATTTTAAATTTCATATATTATTTTAAATATTTTGATTTATAACTATGGTAATTTATTTTTAATTCCTTAAAAATATATTTATATTCGACCTCACACGTTTTAAATTAGGTTCATATATGTTTCATGCACAATGGTTTGAACCAGTTTTAACGGTTCCAATAGATCCAATATTATTATTTTCTATGAGTCCAACTTAAAATATTACTTCTCAAGGCTGAATCAATAATTAGTATAATTCAGATCCTTGAAATTTGCAATTTATATTGAAGACAATTATGCTATAATTAATACAGGCGCATTAACTAGTGATGTGGAGAATCTCTCTTATCGCAAATAG